CCTGAGCCTGCCAGGGGTAATTTCTGAGTGTACAGCCAAAGGAAAGTCCTGAGCATTGCTGGGTGTGACGCCAAAACCAAGAAACATAAACGTACAACCTAGCCTTCAACTGACCCCTGAACTTTGAATACATGGGGAAAATTCCCATCACTTCCTATCCCAAGTTTGGTACAGGACTTCTTAAGACTAGAAGATAAACAGAACAGGAAGAATGTACGAATAGACTTCCTATAAAGGGAGAAATGTCCATCTGTCTCGATTTGCTTGCTTCAATTACACTGTCATCAAAGGACCATCTCATCAATGAACTGTCCTATGTAGTTTTTCCCACAGAAAGAATATAATCCCAACATACCAATTCCAGAAACTTCCATAACCTTTGACAGTCACAATCTCCTTTCTACTCAGAGCTTTCTCTTTTCTTTTAAATTCTCCATTTCCCCCACTTTTATGAATGAAGAAAATGAAGTTTAGCTAATCAGTGGCAGAACCAAGATTCACAACCAGGTGTAAGTGACTTTATATTCCAGCACATTAAGAGAACTTAAAGTTATAGAACACTCAGATGCACAAGAAAGTGGCAGCAGCATCTTGCAAGTGAAGAAGTAGAGGCCTGTCCTGGCAAGCACGTATATGAGCAATGCTACAAGCCAACCCCAGCGAGCACTCAACCATCATGACTATGTGTCTTGACTGAAAGTGGAGGCCCTGGTGATCTCATGTGCAAGCACTCCAAACAAAGGAAGATCAAGACTCAGTTTGTGTGACCTGTAGTGAGCACCACAGTCAGGTGTTTGTGCAACCCCAGACATCATAACAATGCAGAGGGACCAAGAGTAGGGGAGGTAGGGAAATGGGGTGGGAGGGAGGGGGCAGTGGGAAAAAAAGGAAAAAAAAAAAGAACAGGACTGAGAAAAATGTCTTTATATTTAATCATCTAGGAGATTTTTCAGTAAAAAAATTTTGGGAGCCTGAAATTAACATGTAAGAAAATTAATACATAGGAAAAGAAAGAAACAGAGATATCAAGCACAGAAGACTTTTCCAAGAAATCTGAAGCAGCAATAGAAAGGTCAGCATCACTGAGATGAGTTTTTTCTTCAGCTCTGCACTCAAGAATCACTTCTGGCAGTGCTCAAAGGACCATGTGTGGTGCTGGAGAAGGGTGTCCGGGATGGATGCTTGTGAGGCCACGTGCCTTACCCGCCACACCATCTCTCCGACTGGCTTGAGCTCTAATAGTAGCATCTCTCTGGGGAGCATGTACATTTTGCAGAGAGCTCCAGGACAAATCCATGGCATGGCCCCAACCACAGCACAGCACAGAGAGGCTGTTTTTATAAAACATTGGCTTAAGAAGGACACTGTCTCTTCACCTCAGTAAGTGGATATTTTGGATCCAAACCAGCAAGTCTCACTTTTGGCGCACATTTTTCATTATGAAAGCCAGTAAGAAAAAATACAATTCAGTTCACAATGCCACAGAAATCACTTTTGGAGCACATCTATTTTGCTAATTGACAATTTGATAGCAAAGCCTCTGAGAGATGACGTGTGTTTATATATGACATGATAACAAGACATTTTTCTTTGTTTTAGAAAGAAAACTTTTTTCTTTAAGAGAGTGATGTTTATTTCTCCTAGTGCTCTTAATGTTTTAATATGAACTGACCTTTTACTGAAAATTTTTATATTTAGGATCCAAGATTTCCATGTCAGTGCATTTAATTTAATAAGAGAATCCCCAATACAGAATTAAAATCTCATTTAATGCCTAAAAAAATACTAGAAGCCTCTTTCACAGTCAGAAAAATGTATACCCAGGGTTTCAAAGAATGACATACAGTTTAAAGCACAAGCATTTAGCCATGTGAGATTCCACAGCATGATTTTCTTATATGATAAGCAGTTTTCAAATGCCAGTGCTCTGCTCTGTTTCCACTCTTTTCCTTACTGACCATATATCTATTTGTCTATAGAATGAGACACACTAGAAATTTTGGACAGTGGTAGGAAGCAGAAATGGGCAGCCACACCAGTTATCTGAATCAAGTTTGGCACATGAATAGAGTGTGAGTGTGAGTCAATCTTTCTCGGTCCATCATATAACAAAAGTTTAAAAACAGTTGCCTTTTTCTTTCCTTTATTTATTTTTTTTCTTTCCTTCTCTTCTCCTCTCCTCCATGTCTGGCATTTTTCTCATCCCCTGACCCCTACGTCTGGTGTTTTAGGATAAAGCAAACCATTTTATCTCAAGAAATTTTTTGGTTGACAGAAAACTCAAACATTGAAGCTTGAATTACTTATAGGATTACCCTTTTGTAAAAAAAAAAAAAATTCTGGCTATGATTATTTTTTAAAAGATACAACCCTTTAGAAAAGTAAAGTGTGTTGGTCTTTCAAGAGTCATTCATTAAGCAATAAAAACTGAGTTATGATCTGTGATAGCATCGTAAGTTTCAATCACTGAGACATAATATAAATCAACCTTATCACAAAGACTCTTTGTGCATTCCGACGTTCCTTGATTCACAATATGAATTAGTCCTTGTTCCAGCACACATACTCATGGATAAGGACCACTACAGGCTAAACGAGCTTCTTATTAATGGGTATCTGGGACTGGGAAAGAGAGGGTCAAAAAAGGAAAGCGAAAGAGAGGGGAGGAAGGAGAGAAGAGTGGGAGAGAAAGGGGAAAAAATGGGAAAGGAGAAAGAAAGGAGAAACTAGAATAAATAATCAAATGCCAGGATGGTCTCAATATAACAATTTTATTTTCCCTCTAAAACTACATAGAAGACTTTCAGCATCAGTTGTGTGATGAGATTTTATAAATAAAGAACATTATTCTTTAGTGTATGAATGTTTGGACTTCAAGTTGGTGCCTACCTCTCAATGAGATGTATGGACTTGGGCAATTTAATTTTTCTCTATCCCAACTTCCTAATCAATAGTAGCTCAGAGAAATCCTGTGAAGATTAAATACCACAAGCATGACTTGAAGAACTTGAGTACTCAGTAAATATTAGTCATTTTCACTTTTGTTTAGCTTTTTTGGCTTTGGGGCCATACTAAGGCTTACTCCTGGGTCAGAATGGAGGAATCCCTCCCTGAATCCCAGGGCTTAGGGACTTGGGCAGTACCAAACAGGAACGGGTCATGTGTAAGACTGTCACTGTCACTGTCCTCCTGTTGTTCATCGATTTGCTCGAGCGGGCCCAGTAACGTCTCCATAGTGACACTTGTTACGGTGTTTGGTATATCAAATACATCACGGGTAGCTTGCCAGGCTTTGCCGTGTGGGTGAGATACTCTCAGTAGCTTGCCAGGCTCTCCAAGATGGGTGGAGGAATCGAACTCGGGTCAGCCATGTTGGCCACTTGCAAGGCAAACGCCCTACCACTGTATTATCGCTCCAGCCCATGTGTAAGACAAGGAGCCTTATTGCTCATACAATCTTTCTGGTCCTATTTTTACTTTTTATTTATTTTTTTGTTTTGGGATCTACCACTAAGCAATGCTCAAGGGTTACTACTGGTTTGGTGCTCAGGGCTCAACCCTGGCAATGCTCCAGGGAACATATGGGGTGCTGGGGATTAAACCAAGGTCAACTTGAATGCAATACAAATACCTTACCTGCTTACTATCTCCCCAGACCAAAACATGATTTTTTTTTGTTTATTTTGGGGTCATACCCTGCAGTGCTCAGGTCTTACTCCTGGCTCTATCTTCAGGGATCATTCCTGGTGGGGCCCAGGGGCCATATGTGGTGCCAAGAATTGAATTTGGTTCTACCATATACAAGGCAAGCGGTCTACCTACTGTATTATCACTCTTGCCCTCACTTTTTTTTATCATCTTCATACTCCATGAAAGTCTCATATATATCAACTAACACATAGTTATGAGTTTTTAAAAATATTGTGACCCTGTAGCATTTTTCCTCCTAGATTCATCCACATTTACTTCTGAAACTTTGTATTTCTAATAGCTTTATTTTTGTGCTCATGAGTAATCAGTAATGTGGGCTATGAATTTCAGCAAGAAAAAGATTCCTACCCAGTAAAATGTAAATATTTATTGGATTACAAGAAGTTGGATATAAGAAAGCAGTATAATCCATGCTGAAAATAGACTATAGACCGAACATGATTGCCACTCAATTCTCTTTTGCAAGCCACAGCACCCAAAAGGAGAGAGAGAACAAAAGGGAGTGCCCTGCCACAGAGGCAGGATGGGATGGGGAGATGGAGGGTGGGAAGGATACTGGGATTAGTGGTGGTGAAGAATGGCCACTGGTGGAGGTATGGGTACTCAATCACTGTATAATTGAAACCCAAGCACAAAAATTTGTAAGTCTACAACTGTACCTCATGGTGTTTCACTAATAAAAATTAAAAAAAAAGAAAGTAGCATAATCATCACTACTATTATTACCACTGCCATTTTATTAAATCTTGAAGTGCCACACCAGATGGCGAACTGATACAGCAGGAAAGGTAGCCGGGGTGGCATGCAGTGCTGGGGAGTCAATCCTGAGGCCTTGCACATTTCAGGCCCTAACCCTGAGCATCACTACAAGTGGAACTGAACAGAATGAAGGGAATACACCACAGACCAAATTTTGATAGTTCAAAATCAACTAAAGAAATAAAGACAACTATTTTCTGTAAGCAAAGGCATACCTAGAGTTCTCAATATTTTGCTTGTTTGCAGCGCCAGGGATTGAACCTGGAGCCTTACACAATTAAGGCAAGTGCTCAGACACTGAGCTTCATTCCCAGCTGGTGTTCCCAAGATTGAGTCTCAGAAAAGAGTTATTGCTAACTCCAGATGGCAGTGTATGCACATTTTTTCCACAGTACCACGACCAGAGTACCTTTCTTAGGGGTTAAATATGCCGCCTTGAAAATATGCTGGTCACGTGGGCTCCACACAGAGGACAGGCTAAAATCAACCTCCTCTAAGCCTGGGTCTGTCCTCAGGAAGGCCGTGCTTACCCATGCTCATCTTGATGGGCAGGCTCTCCCTGCTGGCCGCTTCCACTAGATGTCTCCGGACTTCCATTAAGGCCTCTTTGTGCTTGGTGTTCAGCAAGGCTTCCCACAGAGCTCGGGCTGCTGTGTCACTGCAGGAAAGCCACAAAAGAAGAATTTCAGAATGCATTTTCACTGGAAAGTGGAAAGGAAGTGAAAGCAAAACAAAATCAGGTAGTCTTTCTATTGGTCTTTAAGAATTAGGATTAAATAAAGAATGGCTAATCCATTTTCATGGGCATGGATCGTTGAGAAAACCAAGTCCCTGAAAAGTGGGAGAGAGGGAGAGAAAAGCTATATTGAGAAGAAAAAAAATTATGTAGCACTCTTGAAGAATTCGTATTAGGAAAGTATTTCAGAGTATAATTCAATATTGCTAGAGTTAAATATGTGCTATGAGTCCAAACCAAATGCATGTTTAAAAATAACCTGTGATTAGAAGCATATCAATTTGAGAAAACGGGTCTGTGAAACAAAGTGATCTACAGTGAGAGTCAAAAATTACTCGATAAAATTCTTAATGAATGGGTTTCCTACTGAATGAAAACTCAGAAATTGGGCAAAATATCCGGAGCCTTAAGTAGCTGAAGCACTTTGGGCGTTAGGTTGGAAGGCTGGCACTTAGTGAACCTTTTACAGTTAACTGTCGATAAGAGCAGAAGAGCTGCATTATGCCGAGTGTCATCTGACCTCATTTCTCTATCAGTCCTCTGTCTCACAAAAACCGCACTGTCCATGTTATAAATGACGACAGTGTGCCTTCCGGAAGATCTCTGCATGGAGCCAAGTATACACATTTGTAGTAATGTTGTAAAAACCGGGTATAAAGAGACAAAGATGACTTCTGTCTTTTTGAAAGGCCCTTTCCCTCCACTTAAACATTACTAATGTCTACAGTTGACAATCATTGGAAAATCAACACATTTTAAAGTTCAGTTTTAAAAGTTATCTCTAATAGGATATTAATTTAGTTTTAAAGTTATACCAATAGGTATATCATTCAAGTTTAAATTTGATTCAGAATACTTGACTGATGTACTTCGGCAGTGAATTTAATGCCTGGCACAGAATATCATTAAAAAATAGCTGTTTTCCCCCATTCACTTTTTCTGAATGAACTAACATCACTATTCAAAATATTCTGTGTTTGATCTGACTAAAATGGTCTTCTTTATAACTATTTCTAATATTCTCTGTTTAAGTGAGTAGGTAAACTTCTTCTTTTCTTTTTTTTAGCACACATAGCAGTGCTCAGGGCTTACTCCTGACTCTGCACACACTCAGGGATCATTTCTGGTGCGCTCAGGGCACCATAGTGATACTGGGATCAAACTGGACAGGTAACAAGCAAGACAAGCACGCTACCTGCTGTACTGTCACTTCGGCCCCCACAGGTAAATTTCTTAAGCTCTATGCCCTATTCTCAGAGGTGGGAATATAGATTTTAAAAAACAAAAGAAAACAAATAAAAATCAAACAACGAAACACAGCTCTTAATGACCAAGTCTGAAAGAGACAAACTGTTTCTCAAAAGTGCAATAAAAGGCATGTCCAATGTTCACATAGTTTTCTCTGATTTTTCAAAAATAAAATAAGAAAATCTACTATAGGCTACTTAGTCTTTATAACTATAAGAGGTTGGAGTTTTTCTTACAAAGATTTGTAAGCAATGATTTCTGGGCCAGCTTCTTATCTCATCAATTTAGCTTTTTTGAAAGCTTATCAACTACAAACAACAGGATGCTTTAAAAATACAACTGCTACTTTTATGAGTTTAGAGCCTATAAACATTTCCAGACAAACCTATAAAGTGGGTGGCCAAGTTTTGGGGTAGAAGTGAACATTAAAGGTAACAGAAAATTAAGCATCTTTGTATCTATAGAAGGACACTGCCTAGTTCAACACAAATGAAAATGTATTTCTACTTTCAAAGTCTTCTAAAGAAAATGTTATAATATGCCAAAGAAAAACACAACAGCTTCAAACAAATCAAACTGCTATTAGGTCATATTTATACCTAATCTAAACCCTTTGTGCTCTACTATAAACCTACTTCATCTTGTGTAGTCTTTTCCCTTAAATTCAGGAACAGCTGGGCCGCATCCTTGTAATGCAAGCCCACACAAATGTACTTTATTTTTCATTTTTTCAAAGAAAAGGAAGAGTTGTTTAAGGTAGATTAAATACATTAAACTTACTTTAAAATATCATCACTACATTCAGAACTTATAAAAACAACTTCTCTCATTTTATCCTCATCTTATGAACTTAAGCCATTATCACTGTCCGAATTCCTTTTATCCCATCCCCCCTCTCCACTGTCTGAATTTTTAAAAGCCTTAGTCAATTAACTTTCTTAAATGCACCCAGGTCAGTGTCTGAGCCCAGTAATCTTTCAATTTTACCATGGCAAGTTTCAAAAAAAGTTAATCTAGGGGGATAGAGAGATAGTACAGCAGGTAGGGTGCTTGTGGCCGACCTGAGTTCAATCCCCACTACCTCACATGGTGTTTTGAGCCCCACCAGAAGGGATCCCTGAGCAGTGCAAAGCCAGGAGGAAGTCCTGAGCACAACCAGGTGTGGCCTCAGACGAAAATAATTCAGTAAAATGGGAATTATTTTCAACTTTTCATGCTAACTTTCCTGCCCAACTCTTCATTCATCATCCATTTTCCCTTTCAGATCACACATGGAGTGAGGAGAGTGGAGCTACCTGCATGAACTCAGGAAACAGGTGCCACACGCTCCAGATAGAACTATTCTGTGTTTGAAATGATCTCATACTATGATCCTCGTTAGCCACTATTGGTTATTGACAAGTGACTTTGCCATGCAATGTCAATCATATTCCATCTATATTCAACTTTCATTAAATGTATCTCTCCAAGATAATTCTGAATTTCTAATCATACTGCATGGTTCCGAATGATTCAAACATAATGGTATTGTTTTCATTTATTGAGAACTTCTTGAGGCAATTTGACTATATCATCTCATTCACTAGTAACACTTCCAGATAATATATACAAATATATATATGTATATATTAATTTATCCAGATAAACTCACAGCCCTAATTCATATGTGAGAGAGTAGATTCTGAAAGAGCTGAAACAGTTTGCCCTGGGTTGGGCAGGAAGAAGAGAGACACCATTTTATTACTATACAATGGAATTGGCTTTAGTATTGCCATGGCTACATAAAATGTGAAACACACAGTAAATGTAGATCTCTTTGATAAACTGATTATTCTGGAAAAAAAAAAAGAAAGAAAGAAACCAAGCCTGACCATTTCATCAGTTTGATGAACACTAAAGGCCAACAATAGTAATAACCTGCTAGAATTTGCCTTTTTATTTATTTATTTATTTTTGAGTTTTAAGAGACTTCTGTATACAGGAATATAGGTTCCTTTCAATTAATGCTGGCTCTTTTTTTCACCAGAATTACTCAACTGTGAGCAAAATCTTACAAATTGCCTTGGTTTGGCATGTATGAAATGTCAAATGCAATCTGCAAGAAGCTCACAGGAATTATTTGTCATCAAATAAAATAAAAAGAGGACATGGTGACTTTGTAAAGGGTAGGTGAGTGCTGAATCATGAGCTACTTCAATCAGGTGGAAGGTGGGCCCTACGAGACCCCAGGGGAAATGTGAATGCACCCCACTCTCTGCAGACCAAACTCAGAGAAAGGATTGCTTCAGGGCATGCACGGGAAGGGAAGCTGACTCACAGGATTTGCAATAAATCACAGGACTTCAATGGAAATGCAATGATAACTGAAAAAAAAACAAACATTATTAACTAATTTTAAACAGAGCCAACTGAGTCAGATATTTTTTTATAGCAGGAAATAATGGCTCCCATCCATGAGCTGTGAAGGTAGATTTGTTAATTAAATTATTCACAGCCGGTTCAATAAGCATCTTGACTACTTTTAAACACAATGACCTCATCCTTAACAAAAATGAGCCACAAACCATCTCAATAGAAGTGAAAACAGCTAACAGGAGGTTGCTGAAATAGGCTGTTGGCATTGGAAACTAAAGTGGTGCTTTGCCCATTCTTTCTTGCAAATATAAGCATTTTCCGTGGGCTGGGCTCCTTGGGGTGTTGTTCCCACAGCTGTGGGTGGCCTCCAGGACCCTCACTGTCCTCATGGGGTTAGCAACAGTGCAGGGAAGCCAGAGCTGAGCCTGGCTCTGTGCTCAGGGGCCACAGCTGGTGGTGCTGGAAAGACCAGAACTAGAAAAGTTTTAAAAACAAGTTCTAATCTTTACCCAGAGAGCAATGAAGAGTCACTAAAGGATTTGACCAGAGGAAGGCTATAACTAGACTTACTATTTCTTGTACAGAAGAATAAATATATGTATAAATCATCAGTCTTACAGAAATTATTCCCAAAACAGACTTTCAAACTGCAGTGTTTTTAAAATGTGCAAATAAAGTTTTACTCTTTTTTTTGGAGGGGGGAGGGGCAATATCCAAGTAGTGCTCAGGGCTTACTCCTGGTTTTGTGCTCAGGGAACACTTCTCAAGGGGACTGGGGAATCATATAGAATGCGGGGAATCAAATCCAGGTGAGTTGTATGCAAGGCAAGCACCCTACCCAAGGCACTATTGCTCCAGTCCCAAAATTTAACTTAAAAAAAGGTGAAGGCTGCCCATCAAAAGTTTCCATGGAGTCATGAGGTGGCAAGGATCAAACACAGGGCCTCACACATGCCAGGAATGAGTTATAACACTTGAGCCATGGGCCCCTAAAAAAGCTTTTAACAGTACCAAACTGTGTGAATTTAATCCACTATCCATTTCTTCCTCTTCATCACCTTTTTCTATCTATCTCCTCCTCTTTCTTCTTTCTCATTCTTTTTCTTATTTTCCTTCTTCAGGCTTTACAATGTTCAAAAGATTAAGAAAATTACCTTCAATTGACAGAGAATCAACTTTTATTTAAAATAAATACTCTAGGGCTGGAGAGAGAGTAACAGCGAATAGGGTGTTTGCCTTGCACACGGCCAATCTGGGTTCGAGCTCCAGCATCCCATATGGTCCCCCAAGTACCACCAGGAGTGATTCCTGAGTGCAAA